AACTCTGGAAGGCCTGGGGGGGAGTAGACTTGGAGACTTTGCTGGTTTGTGTGATATGGTGGTTGGGACAGGGTGGGGGTGGGGTAGAGGTAAGTCATGTAAGTCCTCCTGTGCCTTGGTTGTAAAACTATGCAATGTTCACTTCTTTGTTTCTAATGTCACAGCAATTTTATCATGACATTTGCTGTGTGGTTACAAAACCCACATGACCTCGTTGTTGTTCTTGCTTTTGTTTTGGCCTTCGCTTTGTTGAATTTCTTTTTTTTTTCTGCTATTTTATCACAAAACTTTGGGTTGGATATTTAGTCTGATAATGGGGAGCAGTACAGGTGATCGTTGTTTTGGTGTACCCATATGGTGGTGTGTTGTTTGTATTCCCCTTAGTGGATGATGTCATCCAACCCCCCCTCTTTCTTATAATTCTTATAATCCTGACAGTGTAGTTGTTATATGGAAACATGGCTAACAAAAGGCTGTAATCTCTGGCTCCATGTTAGCGTGTGAGGACTGTAAATGACATCACCCCTTTTTTTGATCCTATTTTAAAGTGTCTGTGGAGATAAAAAGCCATATTTGTCAGTGTGCGTGGTGCTTGCAGGTACCTTTACCCTATAGCTTAAATTAGATCCCTGGCCGCAGGGCGTACGGTAGGTTTAGAAGTCCTGTTGACGGGAGGGTTTAAAATACTCAGCTCTCTCGTCTTTGTTCCTGTCTAGCTTCAGACACAATGAGTTCTGAAAGTGTCATTGCATTAAACGAACACAAAGAATCCTATTGGACTTGTCAGGTCTGCAATGCAGGACTCTTCAGTAAAGAAAGGGTCACCTGTGTATTTTTAGTGATCTAGAGGATGTAGACTAATAATAATCTGGGGGTGGGCAGGGGATTGGTGTGTAACAGGTCAGTCTGCTTTGTTTCAATGTATCTGGTTTATGGGCTTAATTTTGTAGATTAAACCTGGCTAGTCATCAGTTTCAAACCTCAGCCCTCTGGCACTTCAGATGTTAACTTGGCTCTGTGGCCTGCAGACCTTGTATTCTTCATAGGGGCCTGTCTGGCACCAGTGGCTTTAAAGGGGCTGCACTTGTAGGGGGTACTTGTTTGTTTTTTCTTTCCACCCTTGCTATACCAGCCCTTTGCCTATGTGTATTAGTAAAAGACACTACCGGTTTTGTCTTGTGGCTTTCCTATGAAAGGAGGTGTTGTTGAAGATGAAGTAGGCAGAATGTGACCGGGTGGAATAAAAAAAAAAAATAATTCTAACATAGGCCTAAGTTCTGTCCAGCGTCGGGTTCCGGTGTTCTAATGTTTTGTTTTCTTTATTTTTTGTGTGTTTTGTTTTCTATAACTCGATTAGTACAAAGATACTCAAGTACCCGGGTCTTTGTTTCTTTTGTAGAACTGTTTAATTTGAAGGTGGAAATGTTTTGGCCTTTGTAATGACAACCAGCCTGCAGAAATTCTGACTCATTCAACTGGTTTCATTCCCCGTCCTATCATGCAGGCTTCTCTTTTTTTTTTTTTTT